AGACACTTAACACCACAGTAATGAATTTGCTGGCATGACACGAACAATACGGTTACTCCAGATGCTATATTCAAACTGTATGGGTCCATTGAAAAAATAAATATAACCTACAAGAAAAAGACCATAAGGAAAATTTTAAAGTTTGAAAATAAAAAGGTTTTACTACAGTTAATCTTAAATATCCAATCTGTTAAGAGTTAAATTATTTTTAACTTTGCAATTTTTATCTTTTTAAATCCTACTAACATTTTAATGTCTTGCTTGTAAGTTTAAAAGAGATAAATGTTCTCAGATCTTCTAAAATACCACCTAGAATTCATTGTCTTACCATGAATTCCAATTTCGATGCTAGAAATACTTATATTAGTTATTTGTTGTAAGTTAGGGATAATATTTCCTTTCATAATTAAAGCAAAAAGTCATATAAATTATTGGTTGTTAGGAGCCTTTATTTATAAATTACCCCCACTCCATTCCTAGTTTAAATTCTGGCAACAGCCTTTCCATCTTGGCATTTTTACGTATAATTTAAGGTAATATATAGGGTTTGGCATGACTTTTTTACAGAATTAGCAATAATTAAAATTTTCATTTTTTTCTAAGCAACTTATTTTTTTGTTTGTGCTCTGTGTAAGTAGTCACTCAAGAATAATTAATGACTTAACTGCCATATATTTAATAGCACATCTAAGTCCTATATTAAAACCCTTCGTACAGAAAAGAGTTTTAAGGAGCTGCAGAAGCTCTTGTTGAAGTTTAATGCAATGTAATAATTACCATTTTTCTCATATACAGCATCCACTTTATCGCCAATTCCTGGGAATTCCTCCTCTATCAGTCTGGGATAGTCTTTGTCCATGATATGATTAGTATCATCATATCTATTTAATAAGAAAAAGAAATTCTTAAGTAAGTTCTAGTTCTTAAAAATGATTTAAGCCCATTGAAGGGGTGTAAACCTGCAATCCCAGCTACTTGGGAGACTGAAGCAGCAGGATCTCAAGTTTAAGGCCAGCCTGGGCAACAGAGGGAGAACCCATCTCAAAACAAAACAATTTTAGATATAATACAATGGATTCAATGGTACCTTTCAGAACGGACAAGTTTTAAAATATCTGATAGTTTCTTTTTAATTAGTAATGAATGCTTGATGAGTATTTGTTGACCTTTTTAAAGGTCATCTTTGTAAGGATAATTACAAGCTTATTTCCACTTTACAAATTTTGTACCTGATATAAAAGCATGTCATTAGGATGGCATTCTTAGAATGAAAAAATATACTTCACTGAATACATATATTCATTGAATAATTGTCTATTGATCTTCTACTATGTGTAAAATAACTTGCTAAGTACAGTAATGGATATAAAAATATTTAAGGTTTAAATTCAGCACTAAAATGTTATAAGGGCTTATGACAGTAAAGATTGAAAGGAGAGAATAGGTTTTCCCATGCATAACT